ATCTTCTAGACAACGTCAACCTTCCAAAAGATACTCTATAGATTAGTATTTAATGCTTACTGATACAGGTGAACTAGAGAGTTACTAGGAAGTAATTGAAAATGAGCAGAAAAAAAAAGTGGTTAGTTGCTATGCAGGAAAAGATGGATGCTCTGTAGAAGAACCACACATATGATTTGGTGCAACTACCAAAGGGAATGAAGGCCTTGAAGAACAAATTAGTTTTTATGTTGAAGTTTCGAGAATATTGTTCTCAACTAAAGTACAAAGCTAGATTGGTTGTGAAAGCCTTTGGTCAAAGGAAATGTATTGACTTTGAAGATATTTTTTCTCCTATTATAAAATATCTTCTATTCGTATTGCTCTTTGTACTATTGCTAGCCCAGACTTGGAGGTTGAGTAGTTGGATGTGAAGACAACTTTCCTTCATGATGATTTGGAGAAAAAAATTTATATAGAACAACTAGAAAGCTACAAAGTCAAAGGTAAAGAAAATTTTATCTACAAGTTGAGAAAGAGCTTATATGGGCTAAAGCAAACTCTAAGACAATGGTACAAAAAGTTTGATTTATTTATGACTAAAATGGATACAAAAGAATTACTTTAGATCATTATGTATATATCAAATGGTTTGATGATGATTTTATTATTCTTTTACCTTATGTTGATGACATACTTATCATTCGGAAAGATATATCTACAATTAACAGGTTGAATAAGAAACTGAGTGACTCATTTGCAATAAAAGACATGAGGCTAGCAAAACAAATACTAAGCATGCAGATTTTTCATGACAGAAAAAATAAGAAGATTTGGTTGTCATATGAGAAATACAACGAGAAGATATTAGAAAGATTTAGTATAAGCAATGCAAAGCCATTTGGTTCTTCTTGTTCAAGTCACTTCAAGTTGTGCTCAAAACAGAGTCTATCAAGTAATGAGGAGAATGATAAAATGCAAAAGGTTCATTATGCTTTAGCAATTAGAAGTTTAATATACGCGATGGTATATACGAGGCCAGACATCGCATATGTAGTGGGTGTTACTAGCAAATTCTTACAAATTCAGGCAAAGAGTATTGAGCAGTAGGGAAGTATATCTTTAGATATCTTAGAGGGACCTCCAAAGTTCATTTAAGTTATAGAGGTTTGTAAAAAAATATTATGGATAAAAGAATTCTTACAAGAATTTGGGCTAAAACAGAAAAACTATGTAATGCATTGTAACAGCCATAGCATCATCCATTTGTGTAAGAACCTAACTTTTCATTCCAAGTCAAAGCATATAGATGTCAGATATCACTGGATTCGAAATATACTTAAAGAGAAGCATTTGCAACTTTAGAAAATTTACACTAATGATAACGGAGTAGACATATTGATAAAAACCTTACCAAAAGAAGGGCAAGAGAAATGCTGACAGTTGGTCGACATGGCTTCACAGTGAGGAGTCATGGGACAACGTCCCTTATATATTGAAGAGGAAAGTTGTAGGGTATATGGCCCATTATTTAGCCCATAGTGGGCTTTAATAACCCACAGCCCACTTAGCCATAACCCTCTCTTCTTATTTAACTTAAACCCTAACTCTTTTAACTAAGAGGTGTGGCAACTAGGGCAGAAAAATGGGGCAGTGGTGTTTATGAATAGGGCTGAAAAACTATAGCAACGTGATTCAAAAAAAGATAAGGAAATGAAAGAAAACAAAGACAACATATAGGTTGTTCTCAATCATCCAAGCATTGTTTTCATCTTAGGTTAGATTAGATTGATAGTGGATTCTTGCTGTAAGGGGAGATTTTGGATATTGTGCACAGTAACATAATCCTTGTATCTCAATTATTCTCTTGTGATTGTTGTTTAGGTTTTGGACAAAAGACTTTGAGATATATATATTTATTATTTTTATAGTAAATTTTCTTTGGGTTACCTCATGATTTTTACCTTTCATGTTGAAGAAATTTTTCATGTAAATCTTGATATCCTATTTGATTGTAAATTTTTATGGTCTGTACTCATTTCATCTATAGTGTAGCTCGACTCAAAACAACTTGTGAAGTCAGTACTTTCCCTTTGAAAATTCAGAGTGTAATTAATGATATATTACAGTTGTTGAGTTCCTATAATTTTTATGTTAGTTACTGGTATTTGGATCCCGTAAACAGTAGAAAAGGAAAGATTACGTCTACTCTCGAATGAGCCCACAGACGGCCCATTTCATGCTAAATGGATATTGAAGAAACTGCAACGATATTCCCGAATCCCATTTGTTGTACAATATCATGAACAATTTCATATCAAGCTAATTAATTCAATACATCTATCAGCGTTGCAATGTCCTAATCTATAGAATCGACATAATTACTGACAACCTTTTTCCCTACAAATCCCTATTCAGTGTGTATATCCAATTACTTTTTTTTTATTTTGCTCTGATTTGAATCTCAATATCGCAACAACTTGTTCTTAATTTGGCATTGCTACAACTTGTTCTTAATTTAGCATCTTCCAAGTCAACTCCACAATTTGCTTACTCAATGCTGTGCACTTGTATGGGAACTTTGGAAGACAAGTGATCGAGTGCTGAATCGTGTGGCACGCACGTTATCATCACAGCTTTCCTTCCATTAATTTTGAGTTAGGTGAGCCATATCCTTTGACTTTGCTTTTCCTATTATCGTTAGGAGTTGACTTTTTGGCTTAAAAATACAAACACACTTTGCTACATCCTTAATCTGTGGTGAGTGAGCACACACGAGATTTTGACTAACTATATATAATTGGAGGGACATTCAAGTTGAAACCTCAAATTCAGTCAATCAGAGAGATGCAAGCAAACTAGTCACATGGCCAGCGATGATGTAGAATTTTTTTGGCTTCAAATCTTCGTTTGCAAGTCAACATGGTTTTGCCGCCTCGGTGAGCAAACAGAGTAAATCAAGCAACTTCTCAGGAAAGGAAAGGAATTGGGACGAACGAAGAGATAAGCTTCAGCATTTTGGGGCTTCTTTATGTTCTTCGTTGGGTCTTTTGCTTCGTACGTTAAGCACCGAGAGCTACTTGGCCTTCGATCTGCTGCTGCTTGTTGGCTCCATGCATGGCACATGAAAAAGTACCATCTCACATGCAGAATCACACACGCACTTGTCTCGCCAAGGTTTGTTGTCGTTTCTATGTACAGCATATGCTGAACGACCGGCAGAGAGTCTGCCGATAGAACAGCATTTTGTGCATTGCACAGGCCACATGTTCCGGAGAGGAATGGACTTTTCATGATAGAACAGCATGTTGTGAATGGCAATGACCGAAAGACTAATTCGTCCTCCTCCTACTTCTTTGTGGATTTAGATGTTATTCGAGAAGCATGATCGAGCCCAAAGGCAGCAAAACTGTAATAAGCACACTTAAAATCATCGGTTACTCGTCTCATGACAGTTAAACCCTATGCAATCCAATCCAACTGGTCAGTAAGCAAACAAAGTTTTTCGATCGAAATCGGTGGTTTCTGGATTAGGCTGGAGAAGAGTCAGCTTGGCCTACGCCAACTAATTAACAATCTAAATGAAATAAGCTAACTTGTACTACTCTTCAATTTGCTCGGATTCCATGCGTCCTCATGCAGCATTACCAGCATGATTGAGCTAAAGTTCTTGGGGACAAATAGGCCTAAACACTCGATTCTGAGAATTTAGTATAGAACCGTACTTGGAAAGCCATATTGGAACAACTGTCTTGGTATTTTAGAGCTGCACTTGGTGTGATGGAGAGGAACAACCTTATTCTGTGGCTCGCTAACATGCTCTCGGCCGCCTCTCCCACCTTCCTCTGTCGTAAGCGACATACTTTATCTGATCCAAAGGTTGCATTAGATTTGATTTGTCATTTATCATCATATTAACTCAAATAAATGACAAATGGAGTCATTTAATGAGATCCATCCAAGCATTGGCAGATCCAACTGGGCTTTCACCAACTTAGAAAACTATGCAATCGGTAGTTGATTTCTTTTCTTATTCTATGATGTTTTAGAATGCAGAAACTTCTAATGCATGTGATCCATAATATTTAAAAAGGATGACACACACAGCTACTGATGTTGCATATCACCAATCGACAGAGCAAAGTTGTATACATCCAACAAGCCTAATTTATTTTATGCGTCATCTTTAACCCGTCCCAGCAGCAGGAAGACAAGGCACAAGTAGCTGTTCTTCATCGTCTGATGTAGAGCTCTCGGGCCTCTCATGGTACTCCAAGTTTTACCCCTGCCGAGCGACTATGTGCAGTAATTTTTTGAGAGGATATGATTACTCACAGAAGTCTTTTGAAAGCTAGCACTCGTGGCTTAATGACGGGACAAGATAAGATCACAGTCGCAAGATTATAGTGTGGCCAACCTTAGATAGAGCTGTGATCCCTATAAAACGTGCATCATCCCCGCATGACTAACTCACGTAATTTGACCGCTCGGCGACACATCACATGCATAAGAGTCGGAATCGTGATTAGTATACTAACATCACATGCCCGCTTATGAATGATGCGGTTTACTTCAAAGTTTCTAATTTGCATGTTCGTGCCATTATTCTGCGTTGACAGCGATTTGGAATATTTCAAAAATGATGCTTTTGCAAGTTGAATCTTTATCTACGGACAACGGAAATGTTACGAGTCAAGAGCTTGCCTGCTTGATTTGTCTGCTATTGTTAATTTGGCTTTCAATATCATAGTCGTCGATCTACAGGATTATCATGGTATATAGACTCACAATGGATTCAATCTCTACTGATTTCCCCATCATAGTCAAGTCAACCCTTCCACAACGGTTTGTGGGACCTCCTTTGCTGTACTTACCGCACTCCACTGGATAAGTTAATTAGAAGAATCTCAACGGTATGCGAGACAGATGAAGATTAATGAAGAAACAAGCAAAGAAGAGACCTTTTCAGAAGCTAGCTGGAGGACTCATGAGACTCTATATAAGACCGACCTCCGTATCCTCCTCCATGGTCTCAGAATCACAGAGCCAATTCAATACCTTTGCTTCCTAAGATGGCTTCTAAGGCTCTCTTGATGCTCTTGGCCGCTCTGTCTCTTTCCCTTGCGCTCTCGGGGTCGGCGGACGCACAAGGGTTGAGCGTTGGTTACTACAGCAAGACATGCCCTCAGGCGGAAGCTATCGTGTTCGAGGAGATGACCAAAATCATCGAGGTCGCACCCAGCCTTGCTGGCCCTCTCTTGAGGATGCACTTCCACGACTGTTTTGTGAGGGTATGTTCCTTCGCACCTGAAGAGTTGAACCATCATTTTAATGGAGTGTATGAGTTCACGATGAATTGGTTTTGTGCATGCAGGGATGCGATGGCTCGGTCCTGTTGAACTCCACGACGGGGAATGTAGCTGAGAAGGACGCACGTCCGAATCTTTCACTCAGAGGCTATGGCGTCATCGACAGAGTGAAGGCTAAACTGGAGAAAGCTTGTCCGGGGGTGGTGTCCTGCGCTGACATCTTAGCTTTGGTGGCGAGGGATGCGGTGGTTTTGGTAGGATGATACACGGTGCAGCTTTTTTTTTGGGTTTCTTGAAGTAAAATAAAAAGGTAGAGAGTGGATCTCGAGGTACGATTGGTTGACTAACGGTGGCTATATTCCTTCAGAGCAAAGGGCCATTTTGGCCTGTGCCGACTGGCCGTAGGGATGGCGTGGTATCCATTGCCAACGAGACCCGACAGCTGCCACCACCGACTGCCAACATCACTACCCTGATCTCCATGTTTGCAGCCCAAGGATTGAGCGTGAAGGACCTCGTCGTCTTATCAGGTACATCATGATCTCCAGTCAATTTCAGGGACCAGAAAGAACTCGTATCTGGATTTCAAGGGTATATACATGGTTGTTGGTTTGCTGCATGGATCTGAACATTCATGTCCGATAACTAGGCGGGCACACGATCGGGATCTCGCACTGCGCAGCCTTCAACGCCCGCCTGTACAACTTCACCGGCAAGGCCACCCCCACCGACGTCGATCCCAGTCTCGACAAGTACTACCTGGCAAAACTGAGGACGATCTGCAAACCCAACGACTTTGTCACCTTTGTGGAGATGGATCCCGGGAGCTTCAGGACATTCGACACCGACTACTACAAGCTGGTGGCAAAGCGGAGGGGTCTCTTCCATTCGGATGCGGAACTCCTGCAGCATCCCCTGACAAAGGCATACGTCCTGAGCCATGCCGGTGCTTCAGAGCCGGAATTCTTCAAGGATTTTGGGGACTCCATGATCAACATGGGAAACATCGGTGTCCTCACTGGCTCAGTAGGTGTGATCAGGAGGCAGTGTTCTGTTGTCAACTAGAGGCATGGACTTGTGCTCCTCTAATTAGAGGGAGTGAGGAGCTTTAAGTTTCTCGGGCAATAGAATTGAAGGCAGCAATTACACTAGTCGGATTGGCATTCGGTGGTTGCCTTGATTCTTTGTAACTCTCTCTCTCTCTGTCTCTCTCTCTCTCTCTGTATCTTGATATTATTCATAATAACTGGCAGAAGTCTCCGCCAGCGACGTTCATTTCTTCCAGGAATATAAGTTGCAAATTTCAAGTTTCAAGCGTCCAATTTCTTGTGTTCTGGCTTTGGCATTTAACAGTGAATCTTCATTTCGTTTTCTAATTGGCTTAATTTGGTTACCAAAAAATTTATGGAAATATCTATAAAACTTGACTTAATTGATTTCATAATATAAAACTTGATTTAAAAATATATTTTTTTCTTCTTTCAAAGGGCATGACAAAGCAGGATTTGAATCCAAGACCTTACGATAAATTATTAAGCTTTTACCATCAAGTTAACTGATGCCATCAAAATATATTACATAAATTTTGAACCCTCAAAATTTGATAATTATGGTGACATATTTTCATATAGTATTTCGTAAAATAACTAGCTCGAGCTTAATTCTTGGTAGAGTAGTTGGTCCTCGTGTCTCTTGGGGACTCAAACTGAATTGTGATGATTTAATGGGGGGATCAACTTGGGGATGTTGGATTTATTTTACGTAATAAGAATGTCGAGCTAATTTTTACTAGATGTAGATTTTTAAAGAAGGGAGAGGTGTTGCATTGTGAGGCCATGACAGTTTTGATGATCTCGGATGGCTTTTGACAAATTCAAGTCCCAAATATGTATTGCCGCACAAAGATCCTCTCCAGTATTGTTCCTTTATATTTGGACATTGCTCATATGTTTCGATATATATAATTTTTCCTATATGTATAAGGGCGGGAAATGTGATGATCAACTAGTTGGCCAAATATGTCAAAAACTCACCATCATCATCTTTTTAGAGAGGGATTGGCTTTCTCGATTGGTCTTTTTGATATACTCCGATGTAAGAAGTGTCTTCGATATAGTTCATAAGTTGAGCTATTTTCCAAGGGGAAAAAAAAAGAAATTAGCTTAATTCCACTTAGTAAGCCATGCAGCAATATTGAAGAGAAAAATATTTACCCGTAGATAGATGGTTTTCTTTTTCTTGATGACACTAAACGATAGATGAAGATGTAAGCTTATATTGAATTCATCGTTAGCTCAGCACGTAGACCCCAATATGAAAAACTGGACGTTTTGATCAACCAGGTCGTAGTTAATTAAAGAAGCATCCAACAAATGACGACTTTTATGTTTATGAACATAAGCAGTTGTTTTCATCTTCTTGAATTTGAAGGACTCAATTAGTAGCTTTCGGAACTCTATAAATCCGCAAAACAGTAGCATAGTCATTATTTTTCATGTGTTGCCAACCCTGACTTTGTTTTCGGAGACAGAGAAATCCTCCCAGTTTGGTTTCTTAATGGGATCCAAATTAAAATCATTTATGAAATTGGAATTAAAGGCAAAAGGGTACCTGAGAAAACAAAATCAAAAAATATATTTGATGTAATTTTCAGAATACCGTAAGCCTGACTGGCTCCACCAGCCAGTACGGAGACAAAGAAGACAATGACGTGTTCTGCGTTGCTGATTTTGCTCTCCTTTAAGCCATCTCTCTATTATCACACAACCCAGAGATTGTGTGATACTAGAGAGATTTTCTGAACCAAATAGCAGATGAGATTTTATCAAATCTTAAGAACAAATTATTCGGACTATCCGCTAAGTCAATCAAAAATCCACGAGGAAAACAATCAGACTATCAACAAAAGATTTGACCAAGATACCTCGAACCTTTGAGCTCCAACCAAACACCTTCTCCACATCATCAACCTTTCAATCATAACAACCAAGGTGACTACCGATGACTCCTCCACATCATCAACCTTTCAATCATAACAACCAAGGTGACTACTTCAATCATCAGTAGTCTTGGCGCCCTCAACACACAAACAAACGAAGAGTTGTCTGCCAATTATGTGATAAAGTCGGTCACTCTGCAAAGGTTTATCGATCATGACCCTGACTTCCAGCACAATCATATTGGCCTCAAGCAAATCTCACGACTATTCCAAACACTACTGATCATAATTGGATCATGGACTCTAGCGCATCCCACCATATTACCTCTGATCTACAGAACTTGTTGATCCACAACACCTATAGTGGACATGACAACATCATCATCGGTGATGGTAAAGGACTTCCTATTACTCATACTGGTTCAACAATACTTAATTCACCTACCAGAACTTTTATACTCGATGATGTTTTGTGTGCACCTCACATTAAACGAAATCTTATTTCTGTTTCTCAATTTTGTAAACAAAATAATATATCTATTGAATTCTTTCCTAACTCTTTTCTTGTCAAGGATTTGAACACGGGGTCATCCCTAGTCCAAGGTTAGAGTAAGAACAATGTTTATGAATGGCCGTCAATTCCACAAATCAAACAGCCCACTATTTACTCCTCAATGGCAGCTCCAATCGATGTGTGGCATCGTCATCTCAGTATCCCTCCCTCTCTATTCAAAATAAATTACTTTCTCGTTATTCTCTTTCTACTCCTATAAATAATAGTTTTTATTGTGATGCTTGTCTCAGTAATAAAAGTTATAGACTCCCTTTTAGTTCTTTCTCCATATCATGTTCTACACCATTTGAAATTATTTATATTGATGTTTGGGGTCCTACTCCCGTCACTTCCTTTGACAAGTTTAGATTTTATGTCATCTTTGTTGACTATTTTACTAAGTATACATGGATTTACCCTCTCCGTCATAAATCAGAAGTTTCAACAATTTTCACCAACTTTAAAAAATTGGCCGAAAACTTCTTTCAATCTACAATTAAAATAGTCTACTCTGATGGTGGAGGTGAATATCAAACCCTCACATCCTACCTTGCAACCTATGGCATCCAACACCTTAAGTCACCCCCACACACTCCTCAACTAGTTGGCTCTACTGAATGCAAACATCGACATATCGTAGAAACTGGTCTCATGCTTCTAAATCAAGCGTCCATGCAAGCAACCTTTTGGTCTGTAGTATTAAATAGCCGTCTACTTTATTAATCGTTTGCTCACTCCAATTCTCCAATACCAATCTCCATTTAAAAAACTATTTTCTAAATCCTCAAACCTTCAAAAACTCAGAATATTTGGTTATTTATGTTATTCGTGGCTACGTCCGTATGCCCCACACAAGATAGCACCAAGATCTAAACCTTGCATCTTCGTAGGTTATTCTCTTGAACATAATGCTTTTTGATGCTATGAACCAAAAACTCAAAAAGTCTTTATTTCACGTCATGTTGTTTTTGTTGAGTCTGCCTTTCCATTTCAAAACCATATGCCTCCTACCATGCAGGACACTCCAACAAATATACATCATTGGAGTATACCATCGATCCCCTCAAACGAAACTCTTCCCACACCATCCAGTCCTTTTCATAACGATCCACACTCTTTTGTTCTCCCAGTTCAACAACTCTCTACTCCCTCAATTCCATCTTCTTCACAAGCCTCCCCTACTACTGAAGTAATATCCTCAGAAACACAACAACCTTCTTTACCTAGTGCCACTGATGTATCACAGCCAATCTCGACCCCGGTCGATGGCTCTCTACCACCTATACCACTACCACAACCTACAGTTGTTGAATCTCATATTTTGATGATGAAATCACTTGATATGTGTTTATGTTTTAATATGTGTTTTGAGTGATGCAGGATGCTTCGATCAGGATGAGACAATTAAAACAGGGAAAATCATATTGTGCCGGAGGAACATGTCAAAAGATTGGACGTCGGGCCGGTGGATCGGTTGACGTATCGACAGAAGGCTTCGGGTCGTGGACTCGGGCATCGAGCCAAGAAGAGCGGGTATTGCGCCAAGGATATTAGAGTTGTGGAGTCAACTGGCCGATTAGGCAATAGATCGCAGGAGAGGACGATGCGCCAAAGAATCGGACGAAGTGTCGAGGGACCAATGACATGCCGGACAACTTGGTTAATTGCTTAGGATTAATTGTCTCGATCGAAGTTTTGTTTTACATATGCAGGATTAACTACAATGGATGTAAGACATGTAGCAGGAGTTGCACCAAAGTCAAGACTACGATCACGTTGGGAGTTCGAGAGTTCGACGGAAGTCCGGACGGTCGTCGAAGGTTCTACGGTAACAAATCCGAGAAGTCCAGGAGCTTGCCAAAAGAAGTTCTTCGGAACTCGCCAAGTGGATCGTCGCAAGTCCAGGAGTTTGCCGGAAGTCCGCAGGAGCATCACCGAGGGTTTATCGGATGATCGACGGAAGTTCGCCGGAAGCTCGCCGGAAGAAGCGATTGACGCATCGGAGCAAGTTGCAGTAAATATCTTAAGAAATATCGTAGTTAGCACTATGATTAAGTTAGAAATGGGAGGTGATCCCATTAACTTAATCTTGGGGCAATTGGGCCCTTGACAGACCCAAATTGGGCCGAACGGATCAGCCCATTCGGACCCATATCTCTTGGCCAACGGTGGCACCGCCCTTGACAGGCGGTGGAACCTCATGAGCTCGGTCTCCGAGCTCTGCCAAGTGGTGCAACCGCCCTAGTCAGGCGGTGGCACCGCCTGGGCTCAGTCTCCTAGCGAGACTGGGCGGTGCAACTGCCCCTGTCAGGCGGTGGCACCGCCCAAAGGCTCAGTCTCCAAGCTCTGCTAAGCGGTGCAACCGCCCAAAGGCTCAATCTCCGAGCTCTGCCAGGCAGTGCAACCGCCAGACCCCTAAATTCCAGGAGATGATAGTTTTGAGCTCCAAATTCAAACTGGTTTGGTGCCTATAAATGCCCCTCTCATCCCTGGTTAATTTACACAAGCACAGAGAGATTAAAAGAGAGAAAACATTGCTGCAATATCTAGAATTTCCCTCCTCTAAATTCTAAGTGTTAGAATTCTTTTTAGAGAGGAGAGTGAGTGCTTGTAAGTGTTGTCTCCTAAACCCGGTAAAAGGAGAAGAGGGGTGTAAGAAGGAGGTTGATCTTCGCCTAGTAAAGGAAGATCGTTAGTGGATGCCGGTGGCCTCGACGGAAGAGGAATCGGAGGGTGGATGTAGGTCACGATTGACCGAACCACTATGAACTCCCGTCTTTTCTGGTTTGCATTTTATTTCCTGCTATTACCTTACTGCAAACCCCTTCAAT